GTCGTTGATACTCGAACGTGGCTCGATCACGAATTAGCCACGGATCGTTGCGTTGAGTCGGGTAGGCCATGGACGAGACATGTGCCAGACCATGTGCCTAGCGCCTTGGTCGCGGCCCGGGCAAAATTGCCAGTCGCGCCGGCTAAGGCCATCGTGCCCGTCAGCCAGGCCACGGACCGGCTACGTGCCTGGTCATGTGCCGGGCATTGTGCCCGACCCTTGTGCCAGGCGTTGTGCCCATAAGATCCGGTTCCGGTCTTGTCCCGTGCCCAAGAAATATGGCCATGAGCCGTGCATCGTGCCATTCATGAGCCGTTGCGCGTGTTTAGCCATGAACCGACCTCTCGCTCGTATGACCCGATGTGGTGCTCGGCACGTTGCCCATACGACCGGCAAGGCACTAGGCACGTCGCCCGTGCGGCCAGGCAAGCCGCTCGGCACGTTGCCCGTGCGGCCCGGCGCGGCGCCCATGCGGCCCGGTCTCGCGCCCAACCATGTGCCCATGTGGCCCAGCGACGTACCCGGTCATTTGCCGGTCAGGCCCAGCCATTTGCCCGATGACCCGGCCACGCGCCCAGGCCACCCGAGAAGCCCAAATTGACCTAGTTTGGCTTAGATTTTTGTAGGGCTATGTTTGGTCACTTGTGAGGGCTTTTCCACATTAAATCTCATTTTAAATAAGATTATTAGAATTATTTATCGCGAAAAAATCCTCGAAAATTATGAGAATTAATATGATGCAGGGTTGCGACTATTGCACCGTTTAGCCAATTTTGGGTAAATCGATTGGCCCGAGAGGCTTTTGAGTGGAACCAACTAGTTTGTAGGCTTCCACGGTTCAGATTTTGGTTGAAGAAAAGAGGCAAAAAGGGTTGACTTGGTCAAAGGCCTCAATTATTGCCATTAAACCTTCATTATTGGACCCCCCATGAGGTGTCCCCCTCCATTATTGAGGCAAGCTGAGCTGTGCCCCCTCCATTATGGCTCATTTAAGGCCTCTTGGTGACTCATTGGTCACCAATAATAGAGCCCAAGGCAAGGCCAATAATTGGCCAAGCCAAGGAAGAGCCGAAGAAGGCCCTTCGGCCAAGGGGGAGAGAGAGAGAGAGTAGCCGAGAGGGAGAGAGAGAGAGAGAGAGAGAGGACCAATGAGGTGAAGATAAGCTTGGCCCTTCATCATTTCCTTTGGTCTTAGTCATTTATGACATTTAATGCAAGCCATCATGAATTTTGACTTAGAAGCTCTCTCTTATTGGCTTAGTCTAGGGTTTCTAGGAAGTTCCAAGAGTTCTTTAAATAGCAAGACATCCCCCCCTTCCTTCTTCTCACGCCAACATCTCACGCCAACTTCACCATCATCTTCCTCTCCTTTTTGTTTCTTGTTTTTCTCACCCTTTTGGCCCGAGAAGCTCACGTCCAAACAAATCCCGAACCGGCCCGTGTTTCTTCTCGTTTCCACCCAAGAGCCCACGGTTTGGCCTTTATAGGCCTAGTTTTGCTCGGCCAAGCAAGGAAGAAGCCCGAAGATTTCCCGAGCTCACTCGTCTCTAGCTCGTTCTCTAGTTTTGTCAGTTGTTGTGTAAGTGAATTCCCTAATATCGGGAACGAAAATTGCGATACGTTGTAACATGGGTTGCTTGGCCCGTTTTCTTGGTTTCATGGTTGTTCGTTCTTTCTCGACTAACGATGTTCACGTGTGATACTCACGTTTGATGTTTGTTTTTGTTGGTTTCGTAGCATGACTTTGCTATTTGAATTGCCATCGATGCCGGTACGGTAAGAGTCAACTTGTGTGAACGACGATTGTCTCGTCCTCGCTTGATATTAGAGTTTTTACTTACTGAGTCTCCCCGACTCACTCCCGTTGTTTTTCCTCTTTTCAGGTCCGTGATATGGCATCCCCTCCAATCTGGTTCGGAAACCCAGTGGAAATGCGAGCTGAACTCCTCACCGTGATCGACACTCGGGAGAACCACGCTTACCGTCAAATCACAACCTATGTGATGGTCGACGAAGGCCGTGATGAGTTAGTCCCTCACCCGTACGAGGCGTGGTACCGCCTAGCGAACGGAGAATGGGTTGGGCCCCTTCGCGGGTTCAATGGGCCATTTGGAGGACTGGGCGGGTCGGCTCCGGGGCAAACCGGGGGTGGAGCGTGAGATGGCCAGCCGGACGAGGAGCGAGAGGAGCGACAGGAACGAGAAGCTATAGCGAAGTTAGGAACCCAAGCCAAGTTTTGTTTGTTTGATAGTGGCTTGTGTCGGAAACGCCCTTGGAATGGGCATGTAAAATATATACGTGGCTTGTAAGGGCCCGTAAAGAAGGGCTCGATGAAATAAGCATGTATCATATAAATATAACGTGCGTGGTTTGTTTATCTCACTCCTGTTTGTCTCGTTTATCGTTTATTTGCTTCCGCGTACGCATTTGATTGTTTAAAATAAACAGGACGAACTAATATATTTCCGTGAGTCACGGGGTCCGTTCGGGTCATGTTCGGTCACTAAGTATTGATCGTGATTCCGAGTCGGGACGTGACAACACCTACCTCTCGATCGGCGACTTCAAGCCCACACTCTCTTTTGCTTCCTCGGCTCCTCGGTTGATAGCCTTGCCGTTGCCTTATCGGAGGAGATTAGGCGGCTCGGAGTGGAGACAAGTAAGGAGAATTTTTTTGCTCTTTTACTTGTACTTTTTTCTTTTTAATTTTTATCCATATTATATTTTGGACAAAAATACCTTGTTCCGATCTAGCCTTATATATAAGAATTTAGCTGATGCTAAAAGTAGGTCTCGACAGGGTATAGCTTAAGAAAGGCACCGTGATGGGATTGAATACCTGCATTTGCTAAGTTCTTGTTCAGAACGTAGCCCTTTTCATGGTATTAGAGCAGTACAATGTTGGCCGCCCGGCGAGAGACTTGAATTGTCCACTTGAGGTTCTTCATTTGAGACTGACTTAATCATTTTAGACTCTTATTTGAAACAAGTTCCACTTTGAATTTTTTTTTTAAAGGAAATGACATCAGTTTTTTTTTTGGGAATTTTCCCCTAAAAATATATTCTCCTTGGTTCATCAGTTTTATGCCGCCATTTTCTCGAATAAAGACATAAAGTGGACATTTTCTTAAATAAGGCCCTGAAGTGGCCATGTCAGTCTCAAGTAAAAGTTCAAAGTAACTATGGTAGTTTCAAATAAGAGCTTAACCCCGTTGATCACCAGCCAGCTAAATATTCCAGCCGATCAAGGGCAATTACGTCAAAAGAATTTTAATTTTAAATTATTGTTATTTTTTTCCTTTCCTTTCTTTTTTTCTTTCCTTTTTTTCCTTTTTGTGGTTTTTTTCGGGATTTTACTTTCTTCTTCGCCGGTGACCACCGGCGATCGCCCGGAGAGGGCCTGGGCCCAAGGTGGGGCTGTCCCTCGCCCAGCCCTCTCCAGGCGGTAAAAACCAGAAAAAGGAAAAAACAAAGAAAAAAAGGAAAGAGTAAAAAAATTCAACAAATTACGAAAATGCCCTTGACCATTTGGAAAGTCATGCCCTTCTTTGAAACTACATTGTCACTTTAGGCCCTAATTTGAAATAAGATCCACTTTAAGCCCTTATTTGAGAAAATGAGAGCACTCCAAACCCTTCTTTGAAATAATATCCATTTCATATCCTTATTTGAGAAAATGACGGTATTTATATGGAATTTTCCCTCGGTTTTATTTATATTATTTTGGGAAAAAACCACCAAAAACCCCAAATTTTGCCATCTGTGACACATTTACCCCGAACTTTTTTTTGTGACACCAAAAACCCCGAACTTTGCTTTTTGTGACACATTTACCCCAATGTATTTAGTCCATGGGCATTTTCGTCTTTTCTGCTTTTTCTTCTTTTTTTTCCTTTCCGACGAGGGGGGGGCCTCGCCGGCGTCGGCCTCGCCGGATCCGGCGAGGGGGGCCCTTGCCGGCGTCGAGCGAGGGCGGCCCTCGCCGGCGTCGGGCGGGGTTCGCCCTCGCCCGGGCGAGCGAGGGCGGCCTCGCCCGACTCAAGCGAGGTCGACCCTCGCCGGCGTCGGGCAAGGGTCGACCTCGCTGAGTCGGGCGAGGGCCGCCCTCGCTCGCCCGGGCGAGGCGACCCTCGCCGGCGTCGGGCGAGGTCCGCCCTCGCTGGGCGAGCGAGGCGGCCCTCGCCCGATCTCGGCGAGGTCGACCCTCGCCGGCGTCGAGCGAGGCGGCCTCGCCGATCCGGCGCGGGAGGCCCTCGCCCGGCTCGGCGAGGTCGACCCTCGCTCGGCCGGCGAGGTCGACCTCGCTCGAGTGGGCGAGGGCGGCCCTCGCTCGCCCGGTGCGAGGCGGACCTCGCCTAACGCCGGCGAGGTCGCCACTCGCTGGGCGAGCGAGGCCGCCTCGCCCCACTCCGGCGAGGTCGACCTCGCTCGACGCCGGCGAGGGTCGACCTCGCTCGAGTGGGCGAGGCGGCCTCGCTCGCCCGGCGAGGCGGACCTCGCCCAACGCCGGCGGGGTCGCCCCGCTCAGGGCGAGCAGGGCCGCCTCGCCCGACTCGAGCGAGGTCGACCTCGCCGGCGCCGGCGAGGCCGCCCCGCTCGCCCGGCGAGGCGAACCTCGCCGGCCGGCGAGGGCCGCCCTCGCCGGATCCGGCGAGGGCCGCCCTCGCTCGACGCCGGCGAGGGCCCCCCTCGCCGGATCCGGCGAGGCCGACGCCGGCGAGGCCCCCCCTCGCCGGAAAGGAAAAAAAAAGAAAAAAGCGAAAAGACGAAAATGCCCATGGACTAAATACATTGGGGTAAATGTGTCACAAAAAGAAAGTTCGGGTTTTGGTGTCACAAAAAAGTTCGAAAATGTGTCACATGAGATAAAGCCAGGGTTTTTGGTGGTTTTTTCCCTATTATTTTCATTTAAAACCGGAGGAGGACCCGACCCGCCTTCACATTCCAAATTCCAACCGCCTGCGCTCAACCACGACGCCGTCTACGTCGTTGACTTGACCGCGCTGCCCCCTCGAATCTCCCATACGCCAAATACACACGAAAAGAAACAATCGGAGAATCCGATTCTCATATCGAACGACGCTCCGTATCGTCGTCTTCGTCTCCGTCTTCATCTTCCTCATCTTCATCTCCTCCGTCGAGAAGCAGCGTCGCCGGAATCGATGTCGTCGCCGTCGCCGTTCGCCGACACCACCACCACCGCCCGCCTCATGCCGCGCGCGGGCCAGTCCTTCTTCGCCACGCGCCGCCCCTGGCCCCAGTTCCTCAGCCTCCCCTCCCTCTCCCGCCCCTTGTCCCTCGGCGAGGCCGCCGACCGGATCCGCCGCAACCTCGCCTACTTCCGCGTCAACTACGCCATGATCGCCCTCGCCGTCCTCTTCCTCAGCCTCCTCTGGCACCCAATCTCCATGATCGTCTTCCTCGCCGTCTTCGTCGCCTGGTTCTACCTCTACTTCTTCCGGGACGAGCCCCTGTCCCTCCTCGGCCGCACGGTCGACGACCGCGTGGTGCTGGGGTCCCTCGGGGTGGTCACGGTCGTGGCCCTGGTCCTGACCGACGTGTGGCTGAACGTGCTGGTCTCGCTCCTGATCGGGGCTTTCCTGGTGGCCGTGCACGCCACGTTCCGGGGCACGGAAGACCTGTACTCCGACGAGCTAGAGGCCGGCGACGGCGGGCTGCGGTCGTTCGTGGGGAGCCCCACGCGTGCTGGATACGCCAGCATTTGAATGTATTTCGGTGCTTAATTTCTCTAATTGCGGCGAACTCGGTCACTCCATGCGACGAGATCGGGTTTTCGGGAGCTGAATGTGTAGTTCTTGTGGTGAATTAGTGAAGAAGACTCGGGTATTGCTGCGGAGGTTTCATTGGATGGCAGCGTCAGTTCATACTGGGTAGTGAGTAGTACTGGTTCCATTCTTTTTTTTGGTGGGCAACCGTTTGTATAATGGCCAGTGTGTATTGACCTGATACTGCTGAAGATAAGTTTACAATGAGCCACACCTTTGCTTCCATTCCATTGTGTTCTGAACTTTCTCCTGCTCTGCATATAATAAGCTGCGTGATCATTCTGTGGTTACTTTGATTGTCATGTGCTGGGAGGTTCTTGTTCTTTGAACTTGATATTGGTGTTAGGATGTGATAAATTTACCAGAGTGACTTTCGTACTATGAAGTGATACAGTTGACCTCTTTCTGGTCTTTGATTTAAGTATTCTGGTAAAGTGGTCTCCATGGTTTCTCACCAATTGGTTCGTATCACGTTTGATAAGTGAGGACGAGCTTAGAGTTGTTTCGGTGGTAGTTCAAGTAGAACATAGTATCTGGCAAAATAAAAGAGTAGAACATACTAGGAAGTTCGATGCCTTGGAGTCTCCATGGTTCTGTATGAGCAATAATATGCATACTGAAAAGAATGCTTCATTGACATTTTTCTCACTGTCAGGAATTTTCTATATTTTCCATTTGCTGTATTGGTTTGGCATAGCTTGGACTTGGGTCATAGTCTCCTTTTTCTTTTTCTTTTTTATGGGTGACTTGGGGCCATAGTTGTAGTATTCCTGGCGACTTTTTTTGAGCAGACGAACCTCTAGATTTCCAGAGTTCTCAGTGTCATGACTCTTCATTCTATTCTTGTTTACTTAATGAAAGTTGAGTCTTTTCCTTGTCAAGCTTTCCTAGCCTTTTTTGCATATAAACTTTGTGGAACCCTATTGGAAAATGTCTAGAATCTCACTTGTGTCACGGAATTTAAAAATTGCTGCCCTTTCAAGGGTTTGGATGCAGTACTTATGTTGGAACGGAAGTACCCGGATGAGTCTATACTCATCGCTAGTTGTTAGGGAGGGATAGCTCCTTAGGTTGATGCTTTCCCTTACTCAAACTGCTAGAAATCTAGACAATATGACACATTCTGGTCTGAACATGATTGGCGGGGGCCTTTGTTACCAGGGTGGGGACTATGGCTGCCTTTTAGCTTTATACTCTGGCCTGGGCAAGAAAATCATTAAGTTGGAGGATTCATCAAGAAAGAGAAAGCCAAGACCCAACAGTGATAAATTGTCTATGTTGTAGTTGATGCAAGTTAAATCCATGCTTTTATCATTGTTTATGCGAAAAGATCTATAAAACTAAGGGACATCTTCACACCCTTTGTTTGCTTTCTGTCGAACCTAGTTGTGTTTTGAGTTTGCGTGTCTTCCGTCACATGTTCAAGTAGGTGGGTCAGCTCCAGTCTATAATATGAACGGCTGACGGTAGAAACAGTTAGGTTTTTGCTATTATGGCCAATCACTTGTTTTCTCTTTTCTTTGCTTGCAATGTAATGTCATCTGAATGTTGGTCAATGTAATTGCACTGAGCACACCCCGAAACGTTGTAGCGGTTTGTGGTTGAGCTCTTGTTGTTTTTGTTAGTACTTGGAAAATGTCAATTGGTTCGTGAAGAGCAGGGTTTAGCTTCAAAATGAGTTTTTGTTTTTGATAACGCAGCATCAGTTAAACTCCCATACTTTTGAATAGATGGTTAATCGAAATCACTGGGATTTTTCTATCAAAAGAAAGAAGATGGGTGGTGCTTCGATAACAGTTGATCAAGTTAGAAGTTTTTAATGGCAGTGCTATTGAGGAATTTGCCAAGGCATATTACTATCGGTTTGATATTGTCAAGGAGAATTTGTAGGTCAAGCAGACAGACTAAATTACCAGTAAGGCTACTGAAGTCAAACATGTTCACAAGAATAAATAGTACGGGATTTCAGGCATTAGTGGTTGTCCGATACTTGTTGGGCATATCAAAATTCTTCGAGATCAAGTATCGATGCTCGTCTCAATTGGGCACCTATGCCATATCGGCATATGAGGCAACATTGTCTGTTGAAGTGAGATCAAAATCCCTTAAAAATGCTTCAGCAGGATAAACCAAGTAGACTGGAATATGTTCTGAATCAATGCATTTGGAAGCAAAATCCTTGAAGAGATCACGGATCGATGCCCTTTGGAAAACGTTACTCTCGAAACGCCAACTGCTATGAAAATTCGGAGGAGATCATCCATACTTGAAATTACCTTGTTGCAGAAACTGTATATGCCATAGATCTCCAAAGTAGTGATGGAAGTGTCGCAAGTTAAAAAGTAGCCGTTGTTACGACTCTGAAGGCAGTACCAATTTGAAGGTGCGAAAGAATGTTTGGCAATGGTTACGGCGTCCTTCAACTTCAGCCCCCGTTACTTCTCCTCCGAAAGCCCTTTGATCTCTTCGTTTCCTCGTCTTCTCGGCTTCAAGCTCCACGTCACCAGGTGTCCGGCCTGGTTCGTAAGGTTCGAGAGAATTTGGAGGTTGGGGGTTCCTGAGTCTTCAATTCCAGCAGAAAGCGAAAAGGAAGAGAAAAAGGAGAGCCCTCAATTAAACAGTTCGATTAACGTTCAGAAATCTGCAATGGTCGAGGCCCTTGATGAAAGTAGGAACCAAGAAGTTCACCTTCTCGTGTTTGCACTCTTCCGAAGCTTTGTATTGCTCCGCTGCCTGGGCACCGGCTCTCGCTCTTTCTGCTCGGACACTCTCTTCCAGGAGAGATAATGCCGAGCATAATTGGGCCTCGCAAGCGGCAGCCTCAGCTTCGGCTGCCTTCGTGTGCTCATCGGACTAGATCAACTTCACTTGACCCTCCGCTGCTTGAGCGCCCTTCTCTAGCCTTTTGGAGACACTCGCCAAATTGGCACCAAGCGCCACCTCGCGCTGTTCGGAGGCTCGAAGCTCGGCATCGGTTTTTGCCACTTCGGCCTCGGCATCCCTCATCCAGTGAGCTAGCCTCCGAATGATATTGTCACCCTGCAGTGAAGATCAAGCAACATTTTGCTTGAAGATGGTTATAAATGAAGAAGAACGGAAGTACCAAATGGAGAGAGAGAGAGAGAGAGAGAGAGAGAGGAATACCAATAGGCCGGTTCAGTTTGGAACCCCACTGATACCCGACCTGACTCACATATGAAGAGTACTTTTTTTTTGTTGTTGTGTAATTGACTCAAGACCCACACCAAAAACAAAACGGTTTGGTCGGGTTATTATATTTATTTATCTATTTACTTATTGTTTTTAGAATTGCGTAGCCATCCTTGATTTTCCCGACTCAAACTTTAACAAGGTTAATGTCAGCTTTGTTGCACGCTTGTACTAATTTACTATGATGCATAATCTGAGATGTAATGATTTTAATGAAGAATAACTCTTATCAAGTTTATGCACTACATAAAGGGCAAGCTTTTACTTCGGTCAAGTTTATCAAACATCTCAACAACATAGTGGTTTCAAATATCACGAACAATTGATAAGCATAGGAATTGTTAGAAAAAGGAATGGCTAGAGAACAAATGATAAGCTTTTACTTTGATTGTTTTGGTTTCGAAACAAGTCCGGTAATGCGTTTCGGCTAGGTTCGGGTTTATGACCTGAAATTGAATCGATTTTATTCAGTTCAGGTTGGGTTTCAATTTAGATAAAAAAAAAATTTGACATTTCTAGTCACAAGTACTAGTCATCGCATATTGCGAAACTCATTGGAGAGGGTTTTATGTAGCTGTTGAAAGTTCATTGGAAAACGTGTACCACACTTGAAGCTTAGGTGTCTTGTGTAATTTCTCCTTTTCTTAAGTTAATATTGAGAAGGCAACCAGCGCTAGTGACTCTTTCTGGGCATTACCATGAGGATCTCATACCCATTATAGAATGTTTAATTTGAACTATTACTAAACCTCACCAAGTAGCTAGTAGCCAAGAAGTCTCTACATCTCAAGATTTTAGTAGTCAAGAAGTCTCTACATACGAGATATATCGTAGTTAGGCAGTCCAGAACAAACTGTTCAAAACTTTGCTTGCAATGTGACTTGAAGTCGTGGTCTCGTAAAAGACGGGTGACTCATTTATAAATGTTCGTGTTTCTTTATCATATTTAAATAGTCCACAGTGACCAAACCTTAAACTATATGTCATTCTCCCAGTATTTTATTTTCCTTTCAATTCTTTATAATAAACACCATATAAAAGAAAAAAGAGAAATAAAGAATGTGTTTGCCTCATAGAAAACTTCATAATCATGGAAAATCATTTCCAGGAAATCATTTTTCAGAAAAGTATTTTCTCTTTTCAAGTTAGGGAATTCATTTTCTTAATTTTAAGCATGCATTTTTTTTACCCTAAATGGTTTTCCATTGATCGATCATTCTCAGCAAACCAAATACATGAAAGTCTAGAGAACTAATTCGTAAAAAATTCTTTCACTTAAACAAACATACCCTAAGATAGAACTCATTCTACGCATGTGCATGCACATCAAAATATAGAATATGAAGAGGAAATGGATTTAGTAACATCTTAGTAGACCTTTTCACCCCTTTTGGTTTGCTCTTTCTAAACCCTTAAGCCATGCAAAAGCACGGGCCATTGTGGGCCCGGCCTTCAAATCTGGAAAGCTAGAGCTCATGAGCGGCACAAAATGATGTTGTGGAGGATAGCGGCTAATGTTTTACCTTGTCGAGTTAACTTGTTTCAGTTGATCCATATCCCAGACCCTTCTTGCCCTTTGTGTGGAGCTTAGGAGGAAAATTCGGTACATTTGTTCACAAGATGTCATCTAGCCCAAATTTTGTGGAGCCAGAGCCCATGGATCATTATCTCGTCTGCTTGGAACTTCAAGTCTCCGGAATAGATGGTGAACCACTTTCTTGATCCAGGAAAAATAGCACAGAGAACGGGAGTGGATTGCAAACTCTTCACTATTTATGCAGCAATTCTCTGCACTAGAATGTGGCATTATAGGAATGCAAAGTTACATGATCAGACTATTCCAGTTCCATCCCCAACAATTCAGATGATCATACAAGATTTCTTGGAATATTCAAATATGTTCAGGAGGGAAAAAAAAAGTTAAGTTAAGCAAGGAACCGGATTTTAATGGGGTAAGGTCAAACTCTTGGATTCCTCCGTCAACAAGAGTTAAAATTTAATTTAGATGGTGTGTGGAAAGATAAAAGGGGGCCATAGGTATTATTGCACGATCATATAGAGGCTCAGTTGTCCATGCGTGGACAAGACAAGGAAGATGGAACTCACCAGTAGAAGTGGAAGTCTCTTCTTCTCGCATGCAAAGCTACTTATCGACATCCACAAAACGGTTTTTTAAAATGATTGCAAGGTGTATCAACAAAAGGGCATTTGCCCTTGGTATATTCATCCTTTCATCTCGAATTCTCGCTTACTACTTAGCAACAACTCAGGATGGAGCTTGAAGTTGACCAGTAGATCTAGTAATGTTGTTGGTCATGAGCTTGCAAAATGGGCTTCTTATTAGTTAGGAACTGCATTATCTTTCCTTTTTAATGATCTCCCATCTAGAGTTAAAAATACAGTGTTAGCTGAATCTTCTTTAATTTACCATCTTAATGTAGACCCTAGTTTCTCTGTGTAATAATTGAACTTTTTTAATGCAATGGAAGGTTTGCTTTAGCAAAAAAAAAGTTCTTTAATGCAATGGAAGGTTTGCTTTAGCAAAAAAAAAGTTTGATACACGAATAATGAATTTGGAAAACAGACCACCATTTCTCTTCCGCCATTATCGTAAAACTGCACCGATGGTAAAGAGATTTCGTTGACATAAATTACCCTCTAACAGGAATCAACTATAATCCTCAAGATAATCAGTAATGTATATGTTACTACCGACTCATGTAAAAGTACAGTTTTTACAGACTGCCGCGGGTGAATGTAGTTCTATGATATAAATTATAATGTAAAACACAGGAACATGTATGAAATGTAAAAATAAGGAAAAAGAGACCAACATAATAAGTATGAAGGGAAGGGCGATCAGCGGTCGGGCACCCTTCGTGCATAAGCCAGGACCATCACGAAATCCTTGGCCGAGGACCCCACGATCGCCGGGACTCTCTCCGACGTGGATGCCGTTTGTAACCACAAGTCAACCAAATTATACAGCAGCAATGTGGGGAGGACGGTTTGTCCCATGCATCTGATTTCAACCTGGGGAAAAATATGACATTGTAAGAGTAGCCTTGCAAAACTGCAACACTAACACAAATGCATTTGCTGTGCAGAATCTCAGCATAAGAACACTCTCCCTAGCGAACAACAATTCATTTAAGTGCTGATTCTTTCCATCATTATGGGTAGAAACTGCTTCTGATAGATGATTCATGAGAATCTTGAATCTTAAATCCAACTCTTAGAAATAAAAGACTACCCACAATAAATTGACTCTGAGGCTATGTGAGTTATTACTCTCAAAAGTAGAGACCGACATGACTACAGTTTCTAAACTTTTTGATACCGTAGAATAGCATGCACAGATGAGAAGACAGCAGTTTACATTCTTGACAAGAATGAGAATTATTAGTTGGCAAAAATTTCCTTCTACTACGATATGCACCAAACATTCCCGATTTGATTTCCTTTTTTTCTATGTTTAAAGCAATAACGAATCACTTTTTCATACCTCAGTTTCACTAGTGAGATCTAGTTTCCTCACCAGGTACTTTTGAATAAAAGAAACCGGCAAGTTCCCATCCCTGAAAAGAAAAATGTAGATAAATCAGTTTCCAAGTACATACTACAAATTCACGGAGTACAGTTTTAAAAGCCTATCAAAGATCAATGAAGTCATGAAATCGATGCGAAAAGAAGAGAAATTCAAAAAGAAATCATCCCAAGTAGCTGGTAAACGGTTTGCTATTAAATGGGTCGAGGATGACCATATAAAGATCTACAGGAATCTTGCCCATAGTGCAAATGTCCGAAACAACAAACATTCTACTAAATCATTCATCACAGGTACTTTGCAGAAAGAAATACAGTTGAGCTTTGCACAATGCATGATTGTCGCAACTAGAATGCACGACAACCACAGCAATTCGGTTCCCGAGAAGAGAAAGGAACGCGAGGATGGTTGTCCATGAGAAAGCCCCAGTAGTTGTGTCCAAAACCGTGAAAAATGACATGAATGAGCATACACAAAAAAATACCGCACAAGATTACATATAGTCACTGCTACATCAGAAAAGCACAAAAAAAATGTTATCTAGACTACACAGCATTCGACATTTCAGAGTTGATACTGCACCTTCAACATATCATCCTATCCTTTTGTGTAGATAATTATCCATAAGAACTGCATGAAGCTATGTAATGAACAAAAACATTTTAGATAACACATTTAGAGAGAAGGAATTCTCCCAAGACCAACTTGACATGTGAAGACAACATATACAATGTTCCGCATGCCATTATCACCCACTTAACAGAATGAAACTTCAAAATAAGGTGGAACCAACTCTATCATGTGAAGTTGTCATATGGTTTCCATGTGGCTTAATGCATCAGCTATTCTTCCTTATCTAATAGATAGAGACATGAAACCTGTATCGTCTCTCTGTCACCTGGGCTCAGACATGCTGATGCTTGTTTGTTTGATCGGCAAACAAACAAGATTCAGGATTTCGAGTTCACAGTGGGCAGTAAATAGGAAAGAATGTGGGCAGTATAATTGATACAGGTTTTCCCTGTCATGTCTACCACCCAAACCAACAAACACACTAAATAAAAAGCATGTGGGCAGTATAATTGATATAGATAAACCATATTCATCCGGCTGGATCTAAGAGAGCAAGACGGATGAATAGGAAAGAATAAGAAAATGTTGTCACATTTCTTTATGTCAACACTATGTATGTGGCCAGTCTAGCACTTGTAACAACAATTTCGTCACGTCAACACTACAACACATTGGTTATTTGATATATCTTGCCAGTTGCTATGGCATGATGTCCCTCCTTGTTTCAAGTCATTGCTGCAGTTTGAACAATTCTCTCGCAGTTGAGTTATAGAGTGCCTGCCTGGCCT